AGCGACCACGAGAGTAATGATTAATGACAATCTTGCTCCTACAATTTCATTAGAAAGATTGCTCAGACAGGGGACCCGATAGCACCTTTTCTTTTCGCCATTATGTTGGAAGCCCTAGCAGCTAATTTAAGGAAAAACAAGGATATTAAACGAATTAGGGTAGCATTTATCCCGGAAGAAGTAATTCATGTTTGCTCTCTGTTTGCAGATGACCTCACACTAATGGCAGATGCCTCTGAGGAAAATATGAGAGCCATTAAAGGAATGATGGATAAGTTCTGTGCTTTATCAGACATGAGGATCAACTAGGTTACAAAACCCCAAGGATGGTAGATCCATCACCAAGAGGTGAGACCACCTGAGGAACCCAGAGCCCATTGGATTCCTCCTTCATTCCCTATCAGGATGTTGGGGATTACCCTATCAGCTGAAGGGAAACCGCGGACAAACAATGAGTGGATCAAGGAACCATCCCTAGCCAAGATGGAAGCGTGGAAAGATAAACAAACATCTCTAATTGGGAGAACGATTGTGATAAATAATGTGATCCTAGCATCTCTATGGTATAAATGTGCTATCTGGCCTTTAGATAAGAAAAGTATCCAATCATTGAAAAGACTAATCACTGCATATTTATGGAGAGGGAATCATGAGTGCAAAAATGTAATCAGCAGAGTTGCATGGTAGACGCTAATTCAACCCAAAGTGAAAGGAGGATTAGGAATTTTGGACCCTCACACGCAATCTCAGACACTGTCAATTCAATGGATCAAAAGACTGCTCTTCAACCCACAAACTCCCTGGCAGGCCCTGGCATGGGAGCAGATAGTAAGACTAGCACCTGAGGTACCAAATGATATTGACCCAATGATATGGTTGGAAAATAGAAGTTGGTCAATTCCAAGAGGTGTCTCTTTAGTTACAACACAGGAGATAGAATCAGACAGAAAAGCGGCAAGGGCAAATATGAAAAGGGATCCATTTTGGCCTAACCTTCTTAAGACATGGAGAAAATTACCATTACATAACAAGTGTCCACCAAAAAGATGGGAGGAAGTCTGTCGGTAACCTCTGTTCAATAATAGATTTATTACAGATTCACATGGATGTACGCTACACTGCATGAACTCTCCTTGGAGAGGATGGGTTAAGAATGGGATCCTCATAATAAAAAATATATGGAACAAAGGAACAAAATGTTGGTATACCTCAGCCCAACTTCAACCCAAACTTAGCTATTGCACAAACTCAATTGTGGCATTGGAGGATATAATTGAATTAATTTCATTAGATTGGGTAAGAATTTTGAAAAAAGGGTCGAACTTCCAAGAGGGAGATTGGGTAGGTTTCTTTGATGACAAGCAGCAGATAGGGAAGGTGGTCATGGTGGGAGATGATTCGACGGTGTTAACCTCCATCTTCTTGATAGATCACCAAAATTTTCTTTTTCCGTGACAAACCCAAGAAACGAAATGGTACCAGATGGACCAAGTTTTCATAATCAGAGTCTTGAAGGACAAGGAACGATGGCTGGCATTTCAACCAAACCAGTCAATAGACAATTCGGCCTTAGATCCAGCTCAATGGACCTGGACAAGGAAAGGAGGAAAGCTAACGTGGACTCGGTCATTACACACACTAACAGTTAAATCTACTTATCGGATGTTGAAACCTTCTTTTAATATAAGGGATAAAGTGGAAGAACGCTGGATGAGACATCTAAACATAAGGATTCCCTGCGCTCTATTAAATGGTTTAGAACCATGAAGACCAAACCAGCGAAGGTAGCCTCGATGCAATGGCAGATTGATCATCGTTGTCTTCCAACAAACGATTGGATTATAGACAGAACTACCCTGGAACAAAGAGGTTTAGCCCTACCATGGTGCAAATTTTGTACATCAACCTTTCCATCAAGAAAAATCCCAGAAACCATAGAGCACATTTTTCTACAGTGTCTCAGTGCGGTATGGTTATGGAGATGGTGGGATAGGATTTGGAGTCAACTCGCATCCTGACTCCCGTGGCCATGGGATTGGAAAGCCCTCCTATGTGAAACATGGAGTCCCCCTCAGCTGGATGATTTCTCTCAAAATATATTCCTAGTTGGGAGGAGAGCCATCTTATGGGCTTTTTGGCACAGAAGATGTACAAATGAGAAGGACCAGAATTCACGGATTCAATTAAGCAGCAGATTCAGACAAAGATCTCGACTCAATGGGATAAAGTCAAGGAAAAGATTCAACATTTGTCGATCCAATCAGAAATTGACCGTCATATTCAACAATTCAGCAGAGACTGGTTGGGGGATACCAAGGAAGGAAAAGTGGGAGTGATAAAGTGGAAGGAAGTGAAAAGAGCTAATGTGAAAAGGGGGCAATCAGAATTAAGAAGGATCTATCAACTACATTTTCATGATTGGACCACAGTGGATCCTGTGATTCCGCTAAGACCATTATCAGACTTTCCTGATCCATTCCCATTATCATCCTTATGCTTGGTGCCTTTGAGTTGGTATGGTTTGGATTACTGAAGTGTTCTTATCCCAAGGAATAGTTTTTTTGGTACTAATGTAGAAAAGAATATTTGGCGCCCCTGTATGGGGGGTGAAGAGGTACCAACTATTGCTTATATATTCTGTATATGGGACGCTGGACCCGGTTTCCAGCAGGTGCAGCTCCCCACCAATAGAATGGAGCCGCTTTAAAAAAAAAAAAAAAAAAAAAAAAACTCATTTTTTAATCCCTCAACCTCATTGCAATCAGACTCGCTATCTTTCACACTTCACATGTATGCAAACAGGTGTGCAGCAAACTAGCGACAAGCGCCCACTCAAAACTCAGAGATATGGTCGCCGAGAACACAAATCAGATACAAGTTCACTTCAATGGCTATGGCGACACAGCGCCCACTCAACTTTCTCTGTTCGCACACACAGGATCACCCTGGATATCCCACACGCGTTACTCTGTACACACGTACACACACACTGCACGCTATCTACAGCTATAGCGGTTATGGCCGCTGCTACCCTATCGCTATGGCTAAGCTCCTTCTCTCTCGCCCACTTCTCCCCCGGGCTCAATGCAGACCACCTCGCACAAGTCGCTGTAGCAGCGCTTCCGCATGGCTCACGCAGGAATGAATGAATCGCTGGACGCTGCCCTTTGATTTATACTTCTGTAGCTCCTTGGTCTGGCCCTTTCCCTTGCCCGTGGTGCACACAGTCCCATGCGGTACTTGCTTGACTTGACTAGGACTGACTGGGACCGGTACTGCTGACTGCATGGGTTTGCACTGCCAACTCGATGCAGTCGCACTGCCGACGTACTGCAGTTGGGCTCACCACTTGCCCACTTGCCCACTTGCCTCGGCCAAAACGTGAGCAACTTTGAAAGGTCACTACTAGGACCTTCCGAAAGTCTGGGTCCAGGCCTTTCGAAGACTGTAGCAGCTACGACCTTGACCCTTCAGGACTGTAGGAGCTACGACTTCCGGAACCCCCTAAGACTTTTACTCGACAGATCTACAGATCGAACCCCTGCTACCTACGGACCCTACGACAGTCTACCAACTGTTACAAATACAAAGGTCACGGGTTCTACTCTCGGGGTCGACACAAATATTGTCCACAGGTAAGGCAATGACTAGGGATCGAGCCCTAGGATCTGCACTCGCTACTGCTAACAAGTGAAAACCGTTTCACTCCCGCCGGCCTAAATTCGAGGTCCTCCGAGAATAACTCAGTCCAAGGCATGACCTTTTCCCTTCTTATCTCTTTCATAGGCTCTAACTATGTCGGGAGAACCAGCGGTCGTCCTCTGGCTCCTGATAAGCAAATCGGACGCTATACTGTTTCCGTGGACGACCTCTACCTCCTGTTCTAAACACATCTGCACCTACGATGCCGTCAATGTCGTACCTTCCGTCAATGTCTGGAGGGATCATGAACCGTCTAGATGGAAACTGCTGACTTGTGACACACAGCAGCAACTTTGATGCATGAAATACAGGGTGGGTGTGGAGGTGTGCTGGGATCTCTATGGTGTAGGATGGTCCATCCTCTCCGCCCTCAACTTCTAGAACTGGCCACGGTCCTCTATATGCGGGCAGTAACTTCTGCGAGATGTTTTCCTCAGGAGCAAACTCTTTGGACTTCACCCAGACTAAGTCGCCTACTTGGAACTGCGATCAGCGACGGTGCTTGTTGGCTTGTTCTATCATTCTATGTTGGGCCTTCCTGAGGTTTTCAACAACTGTAGCTAGCTCTCTTTCGTGTTGTATCGCGAACTTCCTAGTACCGGGCGGTAGCCTGTGAATCTGATCCCGGTTAAGTCCTTCAAATGGTCTACGCGATCTAAAGGACTTGTGCAACTCATTGGGAGTGCGACAGGTGGACAGGTGCACGCTGTTATTGTACGCACTGACTACCTTGGGCAACATCTCGTCCCAATTGACTTGATCTGGTCTAATGTACATACGCAGAACTTGCTGTAGGATCTTGTTCATTTGTTCAGTCTGACCGTTAGTCTCCGGGTGGCGGCCAGACAACATCAACAACTTGGATCCATAGACTTTCATCAGTTTCTGCCAGTTCTGACTTGTAAAGCGACTATCTCTATCACTAACTATAGACAATGAGACTCCATGCTCATTAACCCAAAAGTCAAAAAACTTATGAATCACTAACTCAGTACGGGGCTCTGCAGGCAAAGGAACAAAAACAAAATATTTACTAAATCTATCAACTATGACCATGACTTGGCTCTTGCCATGCCTACTCTTGACTTGGGTATCCATAAAGTCAATGGGCATTAAGTCTCCGGGCTGGTCTGGAATAGGCAAGGGTTTGAGAAGACCTAGAGGGGCTCGCGTAATGCTCTTGTTCCTCTGGCATACTTTACAACTGCGGACATACTCTATACAGTCAACTTTCATTCAAAGCCAGGTATACGCATACATCAGACTGGCTAAAGTCTTTTGCCAACCGAAGTGTCCCTCTGTGTCATGGCATTCCCCTAGGATCAGACTACGGATCTCGTCACTGTTGGGAACGCACAGACGGTCTACGATGTTAGGCTTCTCAAATAACAACCCTTCTGTAGTGCGGTAATCTGGTTCGGTTTCTGGGCCTCCTGAACTCTCTTGACGAGGTCACTATAAATAGGGTCCTGCGCATACGTCTGTCTAACTTTCTCCTGCAGGTCACTCCCTATATCCAGATAGTGAACTATAGCTCCAAAGTAGTCTGATCTCCTACTTTGAGCATCCGCAACTACATTGTACTTGCCCTTAACTGGCTTGAGCTCAAAGTCGTATTGGTCTATCTCAGCGGCCCACCTAGTCAACTTAGCTGTCATCTTGGCCTGTGTCTTCAGCCATCTAAGCGTCTCATGGTCTGAATACACTTTGAAGTGCCTCCCAGGCAGGTAATGCTTCCAATGCTCTAGGGCCTGCCTGAGAGCGTAGAGGTCTCTCTCATACGTCGAGGTAGCGACCTTCTCTGAGGGCATCCTCGCTGACATGAACTCTATGGGTCTGTAGCCATTGCCGTCGTCCTGTTGTAACACGACGCCTATACCATACTGACTCGCGTCCGTGGTGACGACAAATGGCAAAGACGGATCTGCCACCTTGAGGACAGGGTACTCTATTAATGCGCGCTTCAACTTCTTTAGCGCAGACGTACAATCTTTATCCCACTGCCAGATTGCCTCTTTCTTGAGCAACCTGCGAAGGGGAGCGGCGATAGTCGATAAGTTCCTCACGAACTTCCTATAGTAGTTAGCTAGGCCTAGGAACGACCGCAACTCAGTCAACGTGCGAGGCGTCGGTCAATCCCTAATCGCCGCTATCTTACTGTCCTCAGGCTTAATGTCATCTCTGTCTAAAACGTGGCCCAAGTACAAAACTTGTGTCTTGGCCCATTCACACTTCTTCGCATTGATCTTGAAGTTCGACTCTCTCAGTTTCTCCAAGACCTGCCACAAATGACCCTGGTGCTCTTGGAGGGTCCTACTGAACACTAAAATGTCGTCTAAATACACTACTACAAATCTATGTAACCACGGCCTAAACACACCATTCATACAGCGCTGGAATGTAGCAGGCACGTTGGTCAGTCCAAAGGGCATCACTATGAACTCATAATGCCCATATCTATTCCGAAAAACAGTCTTGTAATGGTCATCAGGATGGACCTCTATCTGATGATAGCCGACTTTAAATCGATCTTCGAGAAATATCTGCAGCCGTGCACTCGATCTAAAAGATCGTCTATTCTAGGCAGTGGCTCAACGTTCTTTACTGTGATCGCATTCAGACCCGTATAGTCTATACACATACGCAACTCTCCTTCATTCTTGGGGACAAACAAAATTGGTGCTCCAAAAGGAGACGAACTGGGCCTAATCCAACCTTTCTCAACTAGCTCATCCAACTGCTTGCGCAGCTCCTCTAGCTCTCTAGGGGACATCCTGTAGAGTGCTCCCTTAGGAGTTCTACTGCCACGCTCTATCTCTATTCTATGCTGGATCGGGCCGCAGCACTACTCCTGTCGGGGGCTCTGTCAAATCTTTAAACTCTTCCAGCAGCTTGGCAATGGCTGGATTTATGGAACTATCCTCTGTCTTAGGCTCAGTGACAGGTCTGACATACACTACGAAGACTTGATCCTCTAATTGCTCCTTCCTCACTAGTCGTGCGAACGCGGGGGCACTGAGACAGCAATGTGCCAGCGAGTTGTCTACTCATGACACGTGGAACACACGGGTTGTCTTAACCTCACCTGACGGACTAGGGAGCCTACACTCATGTTCTCTCAAATGAAGCGTGGCCCCAACTGCCTCTCCCCAGTCCATACCTAAGACTATATCAAAAGGAAGACCATCCTGTACGAGGAGAGTCAGGGAATGGAGAACTTTCTCCACCTTCCCATCTTTCTCTAGGCGAAAATACGCCTGGACTCCCTCTACGTAGTCCTCAACACGCATAGTGCGGTTGTCTGTGAGGAAACTAACTATGGGGTCTTCTAACTTTTGGACTTTCAATCCTAGCCTCAGCTTCTTCAACGCTTTGCGGCTAATATAACTATGAGTAGCCCCTGAATCTATAAGGGCCCCTACTCTGCTCCTAAAGACTTCTACATCAACGAACACTAGCTGTCCTTTACTGTCTTTCTTCATTTTGGCCCAGGTTGGCATCCTCTCCTTCAGTTCCTCTGCCACGCCTGTGAGGGACGTGCCTAGAGAGACGCTGATACAAGCAGTCTCTGGACAGCTAAATAGGCATGGGCATGCAACCTCTGCCGAAGGCTCATGTGGTGTGGGAGTTTCCTGTACGCGCGCGCTCGCTTCCCCACATGACCTAATAGTAGGGGCAATTGCTACCCTTACCGGTGGCTGCCTTTTGACTCCTGGGCAGCCCATCGGGCCTGTCTATACTTAGGACAATATTTAATGATATGGGCAGGGCCACCACAATAAATGCACTGCCCCTGCTCCATACACTGATGCCACACTTTCTAGTCCAGACCCAGATCTTCCCAAGGTCGGCCTTGTGGCCAACCTGGGTGTTAACCTCCTCTCCTTTGAGGTGATCTTCCACCTCGTCGCTACGGGGACCGACTGGGACCTTCACGATTTGACGGGGGACCTTGACCCCTACGTCCCACTTGACCGTTTCCTTGACCGCCAACCCCCTGTGCGCCCGGTCCTCGACCTCTCGTGGCCTGGCCCCTTTGGCCCTGGCCTCCTCCTCTACTTTGCGGCCCCCCTCCAGCCGCGACAGCAGCATAGGTCCTTCCCTAGCCCACGCTACTGTCCTCCTCCTCAAGTCCCCACTCAATCTGACTGTAGGGGACCTCATTAGTACCACCTTCATCTAAAATGAGGATCAAATGATCCTTGGCCCTGACTTGGCCAGAGATGGTACGACCCTTCCACTTTTTACCCTTATCTAAGTCTTTATGCCAGAAACTGGAAACTGGCATGGACTTGGCCTCAAACAAGACCACTTCCCCACTCAACGGGTCATACGTGATGTTGGTCTGTTGGGTCTTGTCAAAGAAGTGCCCTTGCAAGGGCTCTGGCATGGCATGATAAAACAGTTGGACCAACTGGGTCTCGGTGACCCCGTGGTCTGGGACGGCTACTAAGTCGTCCATGACAGCTTTGAGTGCTCGCGCACTCCTCCACTGTCGCGAGTGGATGGTTTGAAGTTTATCAGAGGCCCTGACGCCTCTTGTGACGTTAGCGAACCTCTCACGCAGGAGTTTGAGGAACGTGGAGAAAGGGGTAAGCCTAGAATAAGCAATCATGTTATGCTCGCGGTCGGTGGCGCGCGCAAGGGACCTGGCGAAGCTGGCTGCTTCGTCTTTCAACGCATGGAAGGCGACGAGGACTTGCTCCTCGGGGGCGATATGCTGCAGATATACGTATGTATTGATAATGGTCTCCCAGTTATCAAAGCTATCGTCCTTCTTCCCTCTATAAGCGTCAGGGAATTTGAGTTTTACTGGCTCTTTGCGGGGACGTGTTGCAGCCTCTGCTATGGCCACGACTTTGGCGCCTTCAATGACGCCGGCACAGAACTTCTCTACGCCTTCCTTCAGTTTTTTTACTTCAGTCCCGACGTGGGTTACCACGTCGCGCGAGAACGCTCTAAAACCGGACCGGATGGCATGAAGGGTCACATCTTGATCCTTATTGGTCTGATGCTCGTTTAGCCATGCCTCGCTCAGGACCTCAAGATACCCCAGAATCTTGTCTATTTTGCGGGGACCTCTGCTTGTGCCTGCACCTCTTGTCTACAGGCCCGGACTTTCTCCACTTCTCTCGCCACCCGGTTTGTTTCCTCCCTCCTTCTCTTCTTCTCCCTCATCATTCGTAACGTCCATTTCTTCTCGTCCTTTGTTGTGTGGTGTTCCAGGGGATCTTCTATCGCTTCCAACTCCCTGGCAAACGTTTTTTTTTCCTCCTGCGGCACGTACAACTGTGCCTCTTCATCCTCTCCCAGGGATAGATTAGCTACCCAGTCGCTAATCTTTTTCTCCATCCATGCATCCTCCCCCTTCGTGCCACTGATTTCCCCTCGTTCTTCCCTGCGTCTCCTTTCGAGGGGTTCTTCTTCTTCTTCTTCCTCCTCCTCTGCTGCTGCTTCTTCTTCTGCAGCCTTTCTCCTCTTGCTGTAACAGCATCATCTTCTCCTTCTGAAATCTTAGCATTTGTTCTTCTAGCTTCTTCTTCTTCGCTGCCTGCTTCTCTGCGATTGCTTTTAACTTCGCCTGCTTGAGGAGCTCTTTCTTCTCTTTTCTCTCTCTCAAGAGGGCGGCGATCCGGGCCTGCTCGACCTCGGATTGGGGGGCAGTACTCTTCCCACTACAGGTTTCAACCATGGTGTCTGGTGCACAACCGGATAATGGTTCCACTCCTCACCACTTAGACTCTACTCCCCCTGACTGACCAACCTATTGACCCGATCTAAGGACTCACAGAATCCGGATAGGATCCTGTCAACTAGGATCTCTAGCCTACACCTACTCTAGGGCTATCACTACAAGACCTGTTGCTGATCAGGAGGCATTTAAGGAGATCCCCCGTAACTCCTCAGGAATTATTTAACGTCGCAGACAGGACGACGTGATCAGCAGGTCTTCTCAACACTTAGACGGCCTGTTGTGCAGCCCACAACTCGGATTTTGGGCCTACCGTGCCACACCGAGAAGCCCGCCGGTCAATACCGGTCCTTGGGAGGGTTCGTGTCCTCCAGGACAGTCGAGTCGTCAGACACAGTCTTTAGCCCTACTCAGGCCATGTGGGTTTGGTCAACAAGGCCCTATCCATCATCCACAGTGTTCCTATCACCTGGACAGAAGAGACTCAATGCAGAAAGAAGAGACAGACAAACTTGACTCTGCAAGTACCACAGGGTGTGTGCACATCCATAGGGCGAGGGGATAGGCTGAAGGCTTGGCAAGATTATACCGGCTCCAACTTGGTCAAAATTGTGGTCAACTGTCTTGGTCAACGCCTGGGTCAACGCCTGGGTCAACGCCTGGGTCAACGCCTGGGTCAACGCTTGGCCAACGCTGCAGTCAACCACCGGTCAACTCCCGGTCAACTCCGGTCAACTCCCGGTCAACTCCGGTCAACGCTCGGTCAACACCCTCGATCAACCTTTCCGGTCAGCTATGGCTGCCATCTTCTCCTTCCTCGCCACCCTTCTCCTTCCTTCTCCCTACCTCGCCTCTTTCTTCTTCACCCGATCTATCTTCTCTTTTCCTTTTTTTTGTTTTTTTTTTTTGTTCGTCTCTCCCTTCACCTCCTGGGCTATGACTTCCTTCACTCTTCTTGGTCTCCCCCTCTGTCCTCTCTTTCACCCTCTTCGTTACTCTGTGGTCGAGCTCCGCGGCTATGGCCACCTCTTCACTTCGTAGGACTGCACGGCATACTTCACAGGTACGTGACAACCCAACTTGTATCGCTCATCTCTCTCTCCCTCTCTCTCTCTCTCTCTCTCTCTCTCTCTCTCTCTCTCTCTCTCTCTCTCCCTCTCTCACTCTCTCTCTGTCTCTCTCTCTCTCTCTTGCCATAGCCATATCTTCAACGCCGGTACGTGATAAGCCAATCTTGTATCGCTTAACCTCTCTCTCTCTCTCTCTCTTTCTCTCTCTCTCTCTCTCTTCGTCGTGGTCTTCTCTGCAGGTGCGCGCGGCGGCTTCTCCAACCTTCGGGTCCGCTATAGCGGACTTCTTCTCCGATGGTGACCTCCACTATGGCGCGTAACTCTCCCTGTGGCACACGACGGCACGCGTGGAATAACGGGTACCAGCTCCGATACCAATGCAATCAGACTCGCTATCTTTCACACTTCACATGTATGCAAACAGGTGCGCAGCAAACTGGCGACAAGCGCCCACTCAAAACTCAAAGATATGGTAGTTGAGAACACAGATCAGATACAAGTTCACTTCAATGGCTATGGCGACACAGCGCCCACTCAACTCTCTCTATTCACACACACAGGATCACCCTGGATATCCCACACGCGTTACTCTATACACACGTACACACACACTGCACGCTAGCTACAGCTATAGCGGCTATGGCCGCTGCTACCCTATCGCTATGGCTAAGCTCCTTCTCTCTCGCCCAGTTCTCCCCCGGGCTCAATGCAGACCACCTCGCACAAGTCGTTGTAGCAGCGCTTCCACATGGCTCACGCAGGAATGAATGAATGGCTGGACGCTGCCCTTTGATTTATACTTTTGTAGCTCGTTGGTCTGGCCCTTTCCCTTGCCCGTGGTGCACACAGTCTCATGCGATAATTTGCTTCACTGGACTAGGACTGACTGGGACCGGTACTGCTGACTGCATGGGTTTGCACTGCCAACTCGATGCGGTCGCACTGCCGACGTACTGCAGTTGGGCTCACCACTTGCCCACTTGCCCACTTGCCTCAGCCAAAACGTGAGCAACTTCGAAAGTCCAATGACTAGGGATCGAGCCCTGGGATCTGCACTCGCTACTGCTAACAGGTGAAAACCGTTTCATCATGTAGGATTGGGAGGTCCGACTAGATAAAAAGGAATGCAAGGAGAAGAAGTTTGTGGAAACAATGCAATTCCTCGACCATCCCTATACTTTATTTTTATCTTTCAATGCATCGTTTAATTTTCCTTCTACTTCCCTCGGTAGAATCACTAATTATACTTTCAAGAATCGAAATTTGTCATTTAAATTGGTACGCATCACAATATATTTTTGACAATTGAAAGATTATAAAAATAGTATATAACAACAATTTCATCAACACAGACATTTTTTATTTTTTTAACGAAATTGAAACCGACTAATTTGGCCCGGATCCACCCAAGCCAGAAGGTCCACTGTCTTAAGAACGTCGGACCCTCAATTTTGTCAAAATTTTGACATCGCTCGGACGGATTCGGGCCAAATTAGTCGGTTCAATTTCGTTTAAAAAATAAAAAAATGTCCGTTTTGACGAAATTGTTGTTATATTGGTCCTTAATTGTTCGTTTTTTGCTCAGTATATGCTTGTTTCGTGATGCTCAACCATGGTTAGAAAAAAAAATAGTATTTTTATTGAAGACGCTTTCACAGTTTTGCTCTTGATTTTTCGAACTGAAATAAGTATCCCATTCCTTCACTTTCCTCCCTGGTTCTCAAATGATCTTTATGAAAAAACTTCCACTCTATGGCACGGTTTATATAATGAGATGGATATGTTTTCAAAGAATGAGAGTCGTTATATGCCCTTTAGCCCATGCATTGTATGGTAAGTTCACTTTGGATATTATGTCAAGAACCCTTGTATGTGTCCTTTCGGATACAAAGCTATCAAAAAATTCAAGTTACATGAAATATGTGCGACGGTTGTTCGTTCGTTTCTCATACAACCCTCCGAGGACATCATCAGTAAGCATGTAAAGGTATTGCCTCCGAGAAACAAGTCAGTAGCAAATTGTTGTGACAACTTTGCATCTCGATTGTATCTTATGACCTATCTTGCACTTGTACTACCTTCTTTATCAGCCCTTCTAGTCATATTTCTCTTCGCTTCTCGTCTCTCAACGTACCCTCCTTGATTTCGAATTTCAAAAATATACGTCATTCATATCTACATAATTACATTTCCCTTCTTCACCAAATCTTTGTCAATGCCCTTTCCAACATAAAGATGGTACTGCCCACTTCTCTATTTATTTGTCCAATCTTCATAATTGCTTATCTAACCAACTTGACCACGACTATTGGTCTAATGCTTGCATTTCTTCATTTTACTGGAAAAGAAAACTTAATGGCTTTAGTGGTATGCCCCATAGACCACAATTCTGGGAACACTTTTATTTATTGCTCGATCGTTCATCGCTCTAGTCTTCATTTGTTATTCTTGGAAAATAATGGGTCATGAGCACGAGGAAAGTTGAGTTAGCAGTTGTTGTAGACATCCGGATGCGCTATTTTTATGACAAAGTGCAGATGATTACACGATGGGAGAGTAAGTGCAAACCAGGAAGGGCCTATGCTATACCAAAACATAAGTGAAGACTACATCCATCAACGGAAAGTAAAATACAATCATGATTGATTACATAATTAAGCAAAGGGGAAAAAAAAAAAACTTATACTCCTCACGTTTTCACTAAGCTAGAGCAATTAATGAATTTAATCCCACTAGTCCTCACTGCGATTCAATCAATTTTCAATCCTCATTTTAGCTAAGGGTTTAGTCTAAATAAGAACTAAGACGATTGGATATGGTCACATGGCGTATTTTCTTGTTTACTTAAACGATTTCTTTCAAATTTCAATGTGAAAAAAGCAAAAACTCTAAATAATTCGATATTTTTATAGGCTACCAGCCGAGCCGCTAGGGTCACCTTATTTTTTTCCCGAGTGGCCCCACTGTTCAAGGATTAGGGAAACTCCCACAAAAAAAAAAAAAAAAATCTGAAAAAAACATGGTTGTTAAGCGGACGTCCATATCGGAATCTAGACGGTCCATCTGGATGTTCGGATTCAGTGTCCGATTTGGGGGGCCTAGTTGGGCCCCCAGGCAGTTTTCCAGTGCCTAGTGGACCCTTAAAAATTATTGACATAATCTTTGGTGGACTGTTTGGCCAACCGGACCGGTCATGTGGGGCCTCTACATGCAATATTGGGTGAGCTTCAACCGGCTAAGGAGAACTAGTTATGTGTGTGTATGTGCCTGTGTGCGTGAGACATGTGTGTGTGTGTGTAAGTGTGTTCAAGATAAATCAGATAATAATA